TACTGATGACCTAAGCAGTAGGCTACAGTGCAGCAGGTTGCCTTTAGAGGTCAACTATTTTATAAATTTGGCCTTTTGCAAGAACAATGGAGCTGGTCAGAGATGATTTGAAGATGGATGGAGCTAACTACAAAGCAATGTAGGAAGGAAATATGTTGGATACTGCAAACAATTTGAACCTAAAGTGGAAAGAGGAATGTTGACCCTAAACCGTAGTATCTTTAAAATGGCCCAGTGAAAGTTCAGAAAATCTGGTGGAAAAGCTGTCATAATACGAGATCATTTGATCTTCACAAACTCATCTCCATTCAGTCTCATTGAATTTTCTGATCCGTTTCCCAAAAAGAATTGACAAAAGAATGTGATTTCGTAAGATATTTTTGAAAACCATTTTCTTCCCATTTGCTACATTGGAGTACTTTGGTTTGTCACAGAAAAATGCATTCGAGTTTGTGCTCATAATATTAATAATATTAGTGAAAATGTTAAAAAGTTCAACCAGAAAACGTTTTGTGAAACACTGTAGAAGGTCTTTTTAAATGTTACATCCAATGAAAGTTCCTATCTATGCTTTTTCTATCAACCCTGCTGTTTTTATGCGTTTGGGTCGTTCTGTTTAAGGAAGTCGAAGCCAGGATTCGGTGCAGTCGTGCTGAAAACCACAATCAGTCAATATAGCGAGCTGCCTACACACCGAGGAGAACAGCGGCATGGCGTCAAAGAAACTCCTCCGTAGTTTGCTTGCGGAGGTATACCTGAGACAAGGTCACACTCAATTACTGAGCCACACATCAAAGTTTGACTTTGGAGCCCACATCGGATTCTGCTTATAGGATTAAGTATCCAGCAAAGCACAGTTGGTGCGTCTGTTCAAAAGCCTGACCTTTTTTAGTAGCAATAACTCTTTTTTTTTTATTATTTTTCATTAGCAAGTATGATGGTACTGCTTCTCACTGCACCTCTCTCTTGTCTTCGGTGTGTAATTAAACATCTCCAGGAGCTATCGCTCACTTTTCACCAGACTCACATCTTTTAGGTCTCGCATCTCTTTAAAGTTCACAAGGCTGCCAAAGGTACTATTTAAAAGAAGAAAAAAAAACAAAAAAACAGGTACAACAAAGAGTATACAACGCACGCCTTTTGTTCAGGATGTGATGACACTGACATAACCACCTACATCATGACGGGTTCAAAGAAAAAGTGAGCCCGCTTGCTCAGCAGGAAAACCTCCTACATCCTAAACACTCCAACAGGAGATGAAACCGCGGGTCATGTTTTGTGCGGGAGCTCATCTCTCACAGGAGATTGTGCTGTCGTTGGGGAAAGTGTGCGCTGTGCTGATGAGACACTATGAACAGAGACATACAGTGTAGCTTCCCCTCAATTTCTCACATAGATATGTTTTTTTTTTTTTTTTTAGCAGTAATGAGACACCTTGCTGAGGAAAAGATGTATTAAACCCAAGGCTGCCGTTGCAGCTGCTGCAGCTTTGGCTCGCCGGTTCCGCCAGTGCTTAGATGCTTCTTTCCAAGCCAGAAATACGCCACACTTAAGACTCGCTCGACCTTAAAGGAGTGGTCATGTTGGGCTTCACAGTTGGTTTTAAAGCTAACCTCATTTGGACCTTTGGAAGCCGCTCCTGCTGGTCCGACTACAAAAGGAGAGTGCTTGCTTTCGCACATGCAGCTTGGAAAATAGAATGAATTATATAAATAAATTGCACAATTGGTGTGTTTCAGAGGAAGGGTAAAGTGGTTGCACTCAGTGTCATCATCTTCCAGTTTCATATCAAAGCCTGAGGCCAGACAGGAGGTTTCTGTGAAGGCAGGCTTCAGCTCAGACCTGGCATGTAGGGTTTTCTGTATCAACAGGAGCCAGTATTTCTGTATAATGCTACGGGTTTGGCTTAGGAAAAATCACCCGAACTGAGTGGAAAGAGTTTGATTCAAATGAAAAGGAACCAACCATATTTTTTTTTATCCTCTGGGAATAAACCTGCTTTAGCCACATATATTCTCAACACACGTCACCCATAAATATCAATATGACCAGATTATCATTAGCTACAGAATAATGATTCACTTGCAACACCTAATAAATGCATCGATTCATACGACCCGAGTTTAACCTTTGTCACTGCTTGGCTTTGCTTTGTGTGCAAGAGAATATAAATATTTCAAGAGACTGGAAGCAGAAGATATTATAAGTCTTAAATTCCCATTCAAATGACTGCGACCTGAATACACAATCAAGTCTTTGTGTGTGGGAGCAAGATTGAGGAGCTTTCACACGTCTCTGTTTTGATCCTTTTTCATTTGTCACTTAGAAAAATAAAAATCTTGTTTTTATGGCTTCAATTCTGACCAAAAAGCTCATTTCCGCTATCCTTCAGTGTTAAAGTGCAAAGGTGTTCACATACCATGATGCGGTCACTACCATGCTTCACTATAGGGATCATTTTAACCCACAAATAAACTAGTTGCTTATAATCATAGTCTTGTATCTGGCCAATTTGAAACCTGACAGTAAAAAGATTACAAAATGTCTACTGTTCTTGCAGATTCTCTTAATAAAATCGATTAAACTGTTGGTGAAATGTCTTGCTTGACTTGGCTGTAAAATCAGCTTTCAGATCACAGCTGGTGCCTCATTTAGTTTCCCGTTTTATTCTTCATGGAAGCGACTCTGCATTTGGTTGCACTCGGTCTTGGAAAACAACTTTGTCTTGATAAAGTTCTCGTGCCTTAAGTTTTGCTTGTTACACGGAGATGATTTGTGGAACGTTTTGAGCAAACTAGTGTTTCTCTAAAGTGTGTTGCTGCTGTGGGGGCTGGTGGACAAAACAGAGCAAAACCGTTCGTAGCGTACGCGGCTATTAGAGTTTGGAAAAGGAAGACCTTGGACTAAAATGCACATTCGAGAGACAACAGACTAATTGCATCCCTTGGATAGTTTATTTTATTGTTTGCTTGTTTTTTAACACCTTCGCTTGGATTCCAACTAACAAATGAAAACGCATAAAAACAAGGCAGTCGGGGGGGTTTTTTTTATTATTATTATTATTTATTTAGTCTAGCCCTGTGTGTGGGCATCTCTGTACCCATTTTAATGAAATGATGACAGACTAAAAATCCAAAAATCCACACAGTTAGTTCACACAGCTGAAACCTTATAGGTGGTAAAGATTGTTTGGTGTTTTAGTAATAATGATCCACTTAAAGTAAGTATTATTTCACTGTGATGCATAGCCTAAGAAAGCTTGTCACTCTCTCTCTCGCTCTGCTTCGCCCAGGAAAACTTAATGCCTTTCTAAAGCAAAAGGGCCAAATGACCTTAGAGGCTCCTGTGTGGTCACTAAGTGGTAACCAAGGTGACCGGTGGAAGCAGGCCAAAGTAAGCATCCATCCCACATCGTCCTTCCAGGTGAGACAAAAAAGTAATCAATCCTGTGAGCGCCCTTTATCTGAGTCTCTGCCTGTGTCTATAAATTATTTGTTTTCTGCAGATGCACATGGAACTAGAAACAAAGTGTTATGTTTTGGTGTACCGTACTTTGTAACTGAATCATCTGTTACCTGCTCACACATTTTAATTCGATACTATTTACACTGTTTCACCAACATCTGGGACCTTCTGTAATGATAAAAGTTGTTTTTTACTCTCTGTAGGTTGTTCTCGAAGGCATCCGGGGCCCAGGAATCGAGGGGGACATCGCCATCGACGACATCACGCTCGAAGAAGGGGAGTGTCGAGATCCACCGCCCAGTGAGTAGCACCCGCCGGCAACCTTTCTTTCTTCCTATCTGAGCTCCACATTCTCTGCTTACATCGCCAGACGTACTTGAGATTTACAGAATCTAATCTCAGACAGTTGGCAGCGCCGGCCCAGCCTCTCATGGAGGGAACATGGTTGCCACAGCAACGAGGTTGTAATCACATGAACGATAGCCGTGCTGCTGGCCGAGTGGGGCGCAGTAATTGCACCTCAGGAACAAACAAGACAAAAACAGAAAATGGGCCGCAGAAAATGGCCGGCAGTTGACAAGGTCATATCGTCAGCCGGGGAAACGCTGCTGCTGCTGCTGCTGGTGCTTTGATTTAATTCTTGTTATTCATGGCCGGAAAGAGAGTTGAGCTTAAATATTTCACAAACAAAAGCAGGCCCATCTATTATGTCCATTTATTTAAGTGGCAGAAAAATAATCAAAAACACAAATCAAGCAGAAGCTAATCTGGACTGCCAGATGCATTGCTGCTGTTACTGCACTGTTTTTATTTTACGTTCCTATTTATTTGGATCCATTGTGCTTAGTAGTGACAACATTAATTCATAGAAAGTGAAAGGACCGGTCCCCCAGATTAAGGGTAGAGGATTATGAATTATGGAATTCAATCTCAGATGATGAATCTTACATGACTTTGGGTGATGTAAGAGAGAAAATTGAGCAGCTTCTCAGAAGGAACTAAAATGAGGTGATTTCTCACTCATGTTATCCTGGTAGTAAGCTTCAGAAAAGCTGATAAAGACTCAAGTTTAAGTGTTAAAGAGAATAGTTTGAGGTTTGGGGTATCAAGTATTTGTTTCAGAAGGAAAGTTTACTATTATTTATATATATAGATGGTATATAGATGGTAGTTTAACGAGGTCCTTGCTAACTAGGGTACTTATTTTTATTTAGAACAAATATGGTTAAATCTAACACAGGTAAATACTTGGGTTAGTATACTTGTAAATCTAATACTTTACAAGTAAAGCATTAGAGGTATATGTATATCTGATATGTTTTTGTGTTGTTAAAACAGAAAGCTATAGCTAACAAAAGCTATTAGCAGTTTCCAGTGTTGTACCTCATGCTAGCAGCTGAAAGATATTGAAAATTACTCACTAGAAGTATTAGACAATCAAAAAATGAAATATATTTTTACTTAGTTTTCTGTGGAAACTGTTTTTTTTAAATTATTTTAAATGTCACTATATACAAGCTAGCTTCGCAACACAGCTAGCTGCTACAGAAGGTTAGCAAACGATCAGTTTAGCATAGTCAGTCTGGAAGTCTCGTTTTAACTCAGAATAGCCATGGATAAGACTATGTGATTTATCTGGATTTTAGGCTATAATATGTTTGCTACTGTTACAGCCATGTTGTATTACACTCCTTAAAATGTGTCCTTTAGTCTTTTTCAGTATTGTGCATAAAGCTGACAGTTCCTTTTTGTTCCCCTTGTTTAGATATCAGTGCCAATGCTCTGTCCACATCCTCCCATATATGGTTGCTTTGCACCACCTTGGTGCTGACCCTCCTGGAAGGTCAAAGGTGACCCCTTTTCTTCGTCATCTCGGAGGAGAGAGTTCAGACCCACCGTCTGTGAGCTATACCCTCAGCATCCAATCACCAAAGATTCATGCATACTGAAAGCATCAGGGTCCCTGGAAGGACCATGGACCACGGGGGGGAGGGCGGGGTGGAGTTTGTGAAAGCAAGACGAGGCAAAAAGTAATAAAGAACACACGCTACGTTTCCATTTGAAGAGACCTCTTTTATGTAAAACACTCCTCGATGCAGGACTTGGGATGATTTTTATGAGCACAAGAAAGAGGAGTTTACATGGGTTGAGGGAAATCAGTTTGCGAAGCACAAGCATCCTTTTTGCGGAGAATTGGAAAAAGTCTTTGGATGGCAGCGGAACAGACATAATGCTGACTTTTTGAATTTTGAATACCTTTTCCCTCCTTTCAAGTAGGTGGAATCAGACCATTCCTTGTGTATCTTTATCTTCATTTTCTTGCGGTAGATGCCGATTGCAACCGTTTTTGTTGTCTCTCTAGCCCAGCCTCACACCACACTTTGGCATTTCTTCATCTGCTTGGTGCTCTTCTGTAGAAAACCCTGGAATCTGACAACATTTAGTTATGTCTGCTTATTCCCCTGTAGCTGCCTACATATCTGATAACACTGTGCTCACGAGTCCAAGTGGCCAATGGACAGTGTGGTGGCAGGGAAAAAGAAAATAAGGCAGAACGATCAGCAGAGTTGTACACAGCTAGTTCAAATTTAGGGGGGAAAAAAAAAGAAGCAGCGAGATGTGTTCAAAAAGAGTTTGGAAGAGAAGAAACAGGCAGGGAGGGAGAGAGGGATCCGTTTAGTGGCCTGCCTGTGGAAAAGAAGCCACTTTACTTTCTGCCATGAAACAAAAGTGCCTTCAGATTACAAACCGAATCGTGAGCCTGAGTGTTGATCAACATTGAACAAGTCTCTGTTCATGTTTCTTTTTGATGGGCTATTTTCTATCGTTTCTTTCGCCCCACAAGTGCTGAAGGGAAGGCAACGCGTGCTCACAGGGAGTACAGAGGTGGAGCTGCTCAGTGATTATATTCCCCATGGGACAGTCCGTTGCCTGTGACTCCATGTGTGCGTGTGTGTGTGTGTGTGTGTGTGTGTGTGTGTGTGTGTGTGTGTGTGTGTGTGTGACATGCCTGAGCTGTTGCATTTTTTATTTTTTTTCTTATTTAACGTGAGGGGCAGCCAATCGGCTACCACACGTTCAGAAGCAATGTGGATGAAAAACAGAAACAGTGAGGCTGTGGATTTGTTTTTTCTTCTTCTTCTTCTTCTGGAAGACGGTTGAAGATCAAGCAAGTGGATAAAGACATCTCAAGGAATGAATACCCCACTTTCTTCTCATAATCCTCCTTCCCTGTGGGCGAGTATTTTTTAAACAAAAGAGAGAGAGAGAAGAGCAACTGCTGAATAAAACATGGAGTTGTACAGGGAGGGAAGTAAAAACTTTGGGACCGCTGGCTCCTCGCCAGGGTGGCGCGGCTCACCCGTCTCCACCCCCCATTTATATGGAACAATATCGAAATAAAAAAATAAAAAAAAGGGATAGTGACCATAATAATAGTCGAGATATTTTATTACTCTAGCGAGAATGTTTCTCTGCTTTTACACAAACTGTGAAGATTGACTGCGGAAGATCTACCTGAGACCATAACCTTAACCAGCGGGGTTTTTAAAAAATGTATTATAAAAACAAAAAAAGAAATCAACAATATCAAGAGTTCCGTTCATTGCTGGTTTTTGAGGACTTGTGTCTTGTTTCTTTCTTTCTTTAATTCTTTTTCTTTTCTTTTGTTTTTGAAGGTGACTTAAACTTCCTTTTCTCTTCTTGTTGTCTCCCTTTGCATTGTTGAAATATCAAAAGCCGACGGAAGCATAAGGAGCAAACCAATTCGGTACATGTATAACTTGTAAATGTTCAAGAAGTTCTATTCAAAGGTTTATGATAAATGTTTTTTGTTGGAGTACGGGAAGCACAACCTACAGTTAAGGTCTCGACAATATAATATTCCTTTATATTTCTCAACACATGTGGGGCCTACTCTCACGGATTCAGGCTTTTCGTCACCCAAGTCCGTGTTCGACAGGAAATTTTGTCCATTTTCTACTTATAGTTCATATTTATAATGCCGCCACTGCAGCCGAGAGCATAAATGAAAAATCTCCATGAATGCAGACGTGGTTCAAACATATGTAGCCTCTTCAGTAAAAGCCTGGATTAGTCTGAGTAGGGTGTGTCTGTGTGTGAGCATAAAGCTGTGTACAATAGTTGTTATAAGAAACTGAAACATGTAAAGAAGATAAATATGCTATAAGCAAAACAGAGCAGGATGACGAGCATTTCAGGGCATCCATACAATAATGTTTTGGTCTGTATGATATTATCAGAGAAATATGTTTATCAAAGATTTTATCCATAGATTTATGTTTCTGTTTGTTCGTTTTTATTATTATTATTATTATTTTAGACATTTTCAATTTCAGATCACACTGAATGTATATGAAGTTCTTGGAAGTTTTTTAACCTTACACTCTGACTAGATGTAATGTTTTACTAAATCACGTTTTTGTTTGTTTTGTTTTTTTCCGTGTGCTTTTTATGATGCAGACTTTCTAGTTTATTTGACGCACCATAAAGCATAAAAGATTTGTCTGATGACGACTTTGAAGCAGTTTTCTCCAAAACTACGAACTCAGTTTTTTTTTTTTTTTTTTTTTTAACTGCTTCATTTAATGGGAGGGAGAAAAAAAAGGGCCAAAGTATCCATGCAAAGTCACTGTTATTGGTATCAGTATGAGTTTATTAAAAAATATATGCTTTCATACCCGTAAGCCGTACACCAGACTGGCACATAATGGCCACAACAGCCCCTTTTAAAACATAAATGCTTCAACATTTGATTCAAAGATTCCTTTAGGTAATGAGTGATTTCTACATTCTGGGAAACTGTTTTCTACCGGTACCAGTATCATGCTACTAGCATAGCCTACGACTGAAAACAAGTGAGAAAAAGCAGTTTTCCAACAACCACAAAATCTTTTAACCATCTCCTCCAAAACGTTAAATAATGCATTATATCTTGTCTGTTTATTCCTTAATAAAATAAAGTGTTTAAATTCTGAGTTGCCTTTTTTTTTTTCCTGGACGAAAGGAAGTTAGTGAGCCTGGACAAAATATGAATTTCTGTTTGTCCAGACTTCAGATATTTGGATTTAATTTGGCAGTCAGTTCATTTGTGGGTTCATTGAGTTATTTTTGCAATCACTTGAAAGGGAGGACATGGATATTTTCCACTCGGTCCAATTTTTATCACACTAAGAAATAGCATGTTAGCTTGCGAGCTCTGTGACAGACCTCATCCGATTTTCAATTGAATTTGACTAACTGGAAATTTACATTTGACCTAAGTCACTTCATTAGATGAAAGTTTTTTTGTTTTTTTTTTGACGCTGCAGCACCCACCATATCCCTCGTTTCTATTTTGGTGCATTTCGCTAATTTAAAGCCATTCTTTTTTGCCTTTGTACATGAGCGTTGTGATTGTAAAAAGTGGGTTACACTCTGAGCCCTGATCTACTGTTTGAGTGAAAATCCCTCCTACCTCCGACTAAGTACCATTGTTTGAAATAATAGGCTTTGAATATATAAACAATGTGGGTCACTTGTGCTTCTTACAGGTTTTTAATGAGTTATCTTAATGAAAAAGAGATGAGCGAATCTGTGGGAAGTGAAAAGGCTTCAGAAATGAAAAGCAGGACATTAGTTTTTGTTTAAAATTAAAACTGGATGTTAGTATTAAGTGGCAAATACATTTGGTTTGTGTTTTTTTTTTTTCCACCATCACATTTGTGACATGTATGTTTTTTGGTTTCTCTTTGAATAATAAAAATAAAAACATTTCTTCCTTTTCTTCAATGTACAGCTCCACCCTCGTATTGACTGGATCAGCAAGAATTGAAATGCAGCATGCAACTAAAATATGATGCAATAAATGTATCGTATTCCAACGCTGCACACAAAACAGCATCAATGTTTACTTGCTAATACCATTAGCAGACTTGGATTTCAAGGAGTTTTCTGGTTGCATAACAAAGGCATATCTCAAAATTTCTATTAAATGCATATGTTTGATTTAAAAAAAACATATTTGTGAAGCAATATTTCAGCTTATTAACTTTAGACTGCAGTTATCACTGAATCCCTTTGAATCTACTTTTTGCTCTAACCCATTTAATATGTCAGCAGGTTTCTTCAGTTCAATATCTTGACATTTTTTCCTTGAACTATTCAATTATTTTAGCTATATTGAACCTTAAGACTAACACACATTACAAATTGGTAGGAATATATGGAGAATTTAAGCAATAAGAAGAAACATGACAGTACTCCAGTCTGCAGAAAGGACAAACAATGCTGTGCTGAAACAAACCTGATGTTTGGGTCAAACCTCTGCATTATGCTGGTCACACATTAGATATTACGTTGCAGTAGAAAACAAGTGATTCAAGTCAACTTTTACTGCAGTCAAAAGGCAATAACATTTGGCTGGTGGAGGAGAGCAGGCGTGCTGCAGTAAATTGTTTTATTCTGCTATAATGCAGTTTTATAATCTTTACTGATAGAGCAATTTTTTTCATTCCAGGGAAGAGAGATAAAGTAACCTATTGTCAGCTAGGCTTTGGTCCAAGATTGTCAAAAAAAACTAAAAAAAAAACTGCATACAGTCTCATTGCTGGTCCGTCTTAAATATATTTATTTTCTCCAAATATCTGTTACTTATTTTGACATTAGAAAACGTCGATCGAAAATGAAACCGTGCATGAATGTATCCAGTGCTTTACCTTAATGCCATTAAATTGGAGGTACCGCAGCATTACAGGGATGAGGTCTGTCAGGAGCCTTTTTTTTCCCTTTTTTTTCGTAGGCAGCAGATGGAAAATAATTACTGCAACATGAAATATGTTCTAACAATTTCCCAGTTCTTTAGTAAATGTGATTAAATTTATCCATGTGTGTAGAACCATGACACGCCGCTGTGGGACAAAATGTAATTTATAGGAGGATTTCTGCCTTAATTCCTAAAAGTGCATACCTTGTAATAATATAAAGTGCACATTGAAACAAACTTAGTTTAAAGAGTGATGTTTTGTTCCAGGAAAACATGTCCCTTTGTGGCTTCTTTTGGGTTTTTTTACGAGATCCCCCAATTACTATTTTGTCAATTCACAAGTTATTTTTCTTATTTTGTTTTATGTCTAAAGACTCGATGTCGACCTCTAACACGTCTTTCTGAAAGAAAATGATTTCATTTTCAGAACAACTTAAGAAGGGCTTTGACACATCGTGTTGTTTACTTCAACACACAGAGCAAGAAAACAAACTTTTTCCTCCCGCTTCGAAAGTGATTCTCAGATTCTTATTTTTATTTTTTTTATAAGTTTGCACATATTCCTCTAAAATTAGGTAGAATTGGGTTTATACTAGTAAAAACCTGGGCCATAAATTTGGCTGTCCTCCCACAAGCTTCTCACAACAGCCTGCAGAACTTTTGGCCAATTCCTCCAACGAGAACCGAGTCGGGTTTGCAGGCCGACTCGTGAGCAAAACGTGAGTTTTCAAACTGATTTGAGGTCAGGAAGTGAGGGAAAAACATTTTCTTTTTGCGCTTTT